AATTCTAGTACTGTTTTTCATGTCCACACTTAAATTATTCCATAATTTTACCCCACTTATAGAAATACAAAATCTTTTTTTTGGTTGTACGTATAGCATGAACTTTTAGATTTAACTGACCCCTTAAATTATATCCCCCTTCCCTTTCATCAAATAACTTTTGGATTCCACCAGGTAATAAGTCGTTCCTGGCTTTATACATAAACACAGCGGTCTTATAATCCACTAAATCAAAGAATTTTAACAATTTAGACTGTGTGAAAACTACAATTGTGTGATCCCTATACCCCATCTTGTGCAAAATTCTAATCGCTCCAATCATCAGTTAAAATAATTGTTAGTTAGAGCCCTAAAATCAGCCAATGAGCAAACATGACGTGCTGTATTGTCACTAACATACAGCAGGGGTCAATCTTGCTCTGAGCCAGACAGCTAATGATCTCAGGGCCTGTTCAGTTACTTTGGGACTGACTTAAACAAAAACAAAAAGAGGGAATTTTGTAAAACAAACAAACAAACAAAAAAACAACAAACAAACAAAAAAAACTGTTACAACTTATAGTAACTACAAACAGTAAGACTGTTTGATTTTGTCACCTCCACTGGGGGTCTGACCGGGAGGGGATCACTTAATGGCTCATATGAACAGTAAGAATGATTACAGCACTTGAAAATTGTGAACTAGTAATCTCTGATCTTGGACTGACACAAAACCTAGTTGTCTTCACAAATCTATGAACACTTCAGACAAAAAATGATCAAAAATGTATTGATCTCCTTTCAGCTTCACTTTTAGAAAACAGGACAACATACAACAGGCAGACACAGAACTTGATGTCTGGCTGACAGTGCCCAGTTGGCATGGGCTGTTGAAAATATTATGTTTTTGTTGTGTCATGGACAACGCACTGACTTTAATTTATGCATTTACATTTTGATTTCATTGTTGTCCTAATGTATCATTCATATAGTATCAGACTCATAATCAGAAAAAACTATGTGGACCTTAAATATATAAGTTTAAGTATCCCTGACCTACAGTAGTATCAGTAACGGGTTTTTTTGTACTGTGTGCCCAGGGGCATTGTAGGGATTTTCTGTGGGCAAGCCCACAGTGAGTTGCCACAGACAAATCTCACAGGGGCCCCAAAGGGCAAAACAACTGTGGGCCCTGCAAGGGCAAATCCACAGGGACCTCATATGGGATTAGTGTGGGTTTGCCCATGCCTACATTGCCCACAGTAAACTCACACTTTCCCACAGAGGGACCACAAGGGCATGTTTGCTGTCTATAAGCGATACAAGGCCAAAGCTCAGTGGGAGAAGAGAAGTAATTTTTACACTGGGTATTTTAGTGGAGTGCTGTGAAGTAGATCAGAATCAGAATTAGAATCTGCCTTATTGGCCAGGTGTGTTGGACACACGAGGAATTTTACTCTGGTACATCAGCTCTCAATGTGCAAACAGTAAACCAGCATAAGATTGGGAATAAAGCAAATATGCTGGCACCTACAATGGCATTATGTAATTGTGGCTACAGGCAGAATATTTGTCTTTCAGTCTAAAACAGAAATATACCACTTTAACTGTTTATTGACCCACTGTTGGGGTTAGGTCTTTTAAGATTTTAATGAAGATCTGTTTCTGGACTCTGCTGGGAGATCACCTCGGATCTGATCCAGCACATCAAAACATAAAATTTAACAAAACAGTTTTGTCTTAACATGATGGAGAATAAACTGCTGAAGTGACTAAAAGTGCCACGCTCACAGAAAGCTTGCCAGCGCATTTAATTTGATTTGATTTGATTTATTCTTTCAAGCATGTAGAGACAGTTGATATGACAACACACATAATTTTACACATATCCAACAAATGCTAATCCAATATCAATTTGCTTATACCTAGTACATGCTTGAATAGAGTAGGAAGAAGTCAGACTTATCCAGTCCTACCCCATGACATCATCTTACAAGAAGGATCTAATGGTACTTACTGATCTCTGGTCAGGTTCAGGTGATGAGCCCTTCTCTGCAATTCTTCTCCTGTAAGACAGAGTCCAGAATTATTTCTGAAAAACAGTTGCTATTTTTAAAAACATATCATCATGTTTAATGTTAATATCATAAAGCACAGACCACACAATTCCTCCTGAACTCCACATTTTTAAAACCTAAATTCCTTAGATTTCTCTAGATCTTACAGTGATACTTCTCTGTCAGCAACAAAGTGCATTTAAATTACGATTTTACTACATATCATCTCATAATACTGAGGAATAGTGAGAGTGATGAGTACATGAACTTATTCTTCAGGTGGCACAACAAAATCCATTGCGACCAACATTGGGGTTTGCTAAATCTACTGTATGGCAACTGTGTCAAGTTTCACTTTTCTGTAGTATATGAAACAAGATCTGAAATTCATTCATATGACTCAAGTGCCTATTTTGAGACGTACTGAATCGAAGAGTAATATATGATGTGTCGCTACCTCCTTGCTAACAGGGCACTCATCTCCTCCATGAGCCCTCCTCCTCCAGGCAGAGGGCCGTTGCCTCTGGCTTCAGATTTGGCCCCTCCAGCCCCTGGCATGGCTGCTGCCAGAGCGGCCGCCGCCT